TTCCCTTCCACAATTGATCTGCCCACACCCAGCTGAATCCCTAGGTTATTCTTGTTTTATAAATTTCTCTGGAGACCTTTGGCTCTCCCCTCCAGTCTGGAGTTTTTCAGAGATGATGGCTGATAAGATCCTTAGGGTGAGGCTCAGATAAAGCAGAGCCAGGCACTGGGAGGGGGTGTGTGGCTGTTGCATGGAGATCTGTCAGCCGCGGCCATCATCCTGCATGCTACTGTCATTCCTAATTTACAGAGCTCATAAAACCACTGAATGCCAGGGTTGGAAGGTCCTCTGTGGCAGCCATCCTTCTGAGGTGCAACTCCTCCATGGACCTCAGTCAAACGGTCATTCCAAATCCCTGCACCATGTAATGATCATGTAATAACCACCAGCTACCATTTATCTTTTTCATACTAGTTTGATAACTCTTTGACAACAGAGAACGTGTCTAAACTTCTTGTATTGTTGTGATAAAATGTTTACAACATAGAGTGTACAGTGTAAAGTGTACAGTGGCATTAAATACAGATACACTCACACTGTGGTGTAGCCATCACCATCATCCCGAACGTTTTTATCCTCCCAACTAAAACTTTGCACCCATTAAACACTAACTCCCTGGTCTCTCCTCCACTCACCTTTAGCAACCACTTTTTTTTTTCTTTACTAACATCTCTCTAACTCAGTCTTTGATAACCACCATTCTCCTTCAACTTCTATGAGTTCAGCGTTTTTAGATTCCACACATAAGTGTCGTAATGTGGTATTTGTTTTTCTGTGTCTGGTTTATTTTGCTTAACATAATGTCCTCCAGGTTCATTCCTGTTGTCACAAAGACAAGATTTCCTTCTTTTATAAGGCTGAAAGTACCCCATTGTGTATATATACCACATCTCTTTATCCATTCAGCCACTATTGAACCCTTATATTTATTCTGTATCTTGGCTATTGTGAAATGCTGCAATGACCATGGACATGCAGAAATCTCATCACACTGATTTCATTTCCTTTGGATATATACCCAGTAATGAAATTGCTAGATTCAACCATTTTACTTTCTGCCTCAATGAATTTGACTGCTCTAAGTACCTCAGATAAGTGGAATCATACGATATTTCTCCTTCTGTGACTGGCATATTTCACTTGGCATTATGTCTTTCATATTTCTCCATGCTGTATGTAGCATGTGTCACAATTTCCTTCCTTTTCAAGGTCGAGTAATATCTCATTGTATGTATAGACCAGATTTTGTTTATCCATTCACCTGTCAATGGACACTTTGGTTACGTTCACCCTGTGACTATTGTAATTAATGCTGCTATGCACATAAGTGTACAAATATCTCTTTGTGTCTCTGCTTTCATTTTTTTTGGGGGGGGTATAACCAGAAATGAAATTGCTGGGTCATATGGTAATTCTATGTTTAATTTTTTATAAATTTATCATACCATTTTCCACAACAGCTGTGCCATTTTACATTTATATTTGCAAAAGAGTTCCAATGTCTCCACCTCCTTGACAACACTTATTTTTCTTAGGCTATCTTTGATTTCTATTTCATGCCCTGAAAGACACATGATATTGTCTGAGTAAATTATTGACCCTTCTCTTAATGCTGTCAAAAAGGGAAATGAGGTTAAATCAAGCAACTTGTGCTCAGCAAGTCTCTGCTAGAACGTTTGTTCTAGATTTTCACTGTACTTTAGCCACATGTGGCTAATTCAATCTCAATTAATTAAAATTAAATAAAATGTAAAATTCAGTTCCTCAGCCACATTAGCAACATTTCAAGTACTTCATAGCCACCATAACTAGTGTCTACTATTTTGGAAAATGCAGAATGGAACATTTCCATTATTGCAGGCAGTTATTAATATTTGGCTTCTATATTGAACAGCACTTTCTAGATTCTGGTAGCACCTCTGCCTCATCTTACAAATAACATTTGGATAAGCTTTTCCAGAAATGGCCAGCTTTAAATTTAAGATCTTTTTTTCAGGAGAGAGAAAATATGCTACTAAAAAGTCTGTGGCTTCTTTGTACCCCAATGGCTGCTCTGTGAACTCTCTAATTTTCATGATTAAATATTGTATTTGAATACTCCGTGGTCATGTTTCTGTTGCTCTTTTTACATCTATGAATGCAGACTTACAAAACTGGTTAAAGCTTTGTCTATATCATTCAACTCACCTACTAAGTTTCAAGAAGGCAGGAATTATGTCTATTTCACTTACTCCTTTTTACCTAAAGCCTAACAGAATACCTAGCACATTAGAAACACTCAATAAATATTTGTTGAAAGATGAGTTAATGACTGGCCAAAGTAAGCACTGAGGTGAGGGCCCTGATGTAGCCTATTAGAGGGAGGTACCCAAACATAACAAGACCTAGGAATATCTCTCTAGCTCTCATATGTTGGTGGTTAGAAAAGATGTTTTTTCTTACAGGGCATAGATTTTAAGCTAGGGTCTTTTCCCCATTATTTAAAAAATAGCTTAAAATTTAATTCTTATAAGGATCTTGTCTAATGCATGTTTTTAAAATTACCACTCTGATTTGTAAACACCTGTTACCATCAGTGAATATAATAATGAGAACAAATTCTAGATTTATATAGCATCAGCGTGTGTGCAAAGATTTCCTTTTGCCCCTCAAGATCCACTTTCCACCTCCCTCCCACCTGTTCTCTGACTTTGGAGTCTGATCTGAATGGATTATTCTGACAGCTGCCTGTGCCCCACAGGTTTCCTGCCAGTAGGAAAGCTCTGGCAGGAGGGCAGGGGCAGGGAACGAGCAGGAAATGTATTCCAAATAGAAGTATGTATATGTCCCTCAAAAAAATGTCCCAGTTTCTCTAACGTGGGCTCCTCTACATGTCTCTCTCTCCCTTCCTGGTTTCAGATACCTTTCCCTACTCGTGATTCTCAGTCACAGGTTCCGTTACAGCTGCCCTCCACCCTGTCCATATCTTTATAATAGACCACTTATTTAAAACCTATGCTTGAATTATCCTAATTTGAATATGCCATCCGTTTCCCTTTGGGACATTAATTAATACAGTATCCTTAATTAGTAGCAAAAGCATAGTCTCCAAATCCCATCTCTGAAAATTTTATAACTACAATCCTGACAGAAATGTTCCCTAGTGATATTATATCATTACTTCAATCCACTTGTTAGCTTTATGAAGAAACCAGACTGTATGTCACATAAATTGTTCTCCAGTACACGCAGACTAGAAATATATTACCAGATTCACAGGCAAATCTTTTTGCATATAGCTTCTCTATATAAAATGTAATTTATGGAAACATATAAATGAGAAATTTTTGTGTTTTAAATTGGTACATAATATTTTACATATTTATGGGATACACATGATATTTTGTTGCATGCGTAGAATGTGTAAGAATCAAATCCAGGTATTTGGGGTATCCCTCACCTTGAGTATTTATCATTTCCACATGTTGGGAACATTTCAAGTTCCCTATTTTAGCTAATTTGAAATATACACTACATTGTTGCTAACTGTAGTATATAGTTAGCAAGAACAGAATAGCAGAACTGCTATAGAACATTAGAACCTACTTCTTTTATCCAACTGTGTTTTTAGGACCCTTTGACCAGACACTCTTCATTGCCTTTCCACTCACACAACCTTCCCAGCATCTGGTATCTACCATTCTACTATCTTGATGAAATAACTTTTAAGCTCCCATGAGTAAGAATTTGTGAAATTTGTCTGTGTCTGGCTTATTGTGCTTCACATAGTAATCTTAAGTTCCATCCATTTTGCTGCAAATGACATGGTTTCATTCTTTTTATGGCTGAATAGATTCCACTGTGTATATATACCACATTTTCTTTATCCCATAAATGAGAATTTACAAAGTAAAATCAGGTTAATGAAGTTTTAAATATTTCAATATATAAGTTAAAGTTTTAAATATTTCAGTATATAATAAGCATATCTTAAATTACTTTTAGACATGTGATGAAATCTGCAAAAGACCCAGTGCTGCAAACAAGTCATCATTACTCATATACCAGAGAACACAGTTTCTGTCCCTTGAAGCTTGTTTGAAATGTACAATTTTTAGCAAACACCAGATCATTAAAAAATATAAACCTAATAATGCCGATGCCAATATCAAAGGTAACCAATACTATTGTTTGGTTACAATGTGCCAAGCACTATGTTCACATTGTCATATATTATTTAATTCTCATCACAAATTTATAAGATGTGCACAACTCAACCCTATTTAAAAGAGAGAAATAGACTGAAACTGATAGCCTCCTGTCCACTGTCCAGGCAACAGCAACCAGAAAACCTCAGATTCAAATACTAGTATCCAACACAAAAATTCAGGTTCTTCACCATTAACAATTCAAGAACAATGCTAGAGACCAGAGCAAAGGCCGGGTGCAGTGGCTCTTGCCTGTAATCCCAGCACTTTGGGAGGCAAAAGCGGGTAGATTGCTTGAGCCCAGAAGTTCAAAGCTAGCTTGGGCAACATGGCAAACACCCATTTCTATAAAAAATACAAAGAAATTAGCCAGGCGTGACAGCTGGTTTCTGTAGTCCCAGCTACTTGGAAGGCTGAGGTGGGAGAATCACCTAAGCCCAGTAAGTCGAGGCTGCAGTGAGCCATTATTGCACCACTGCACTCCAGGCTGGGCAATGGAATGAGACCTTGTCTCAAAAAACAAAAACAAAAACAAAAAACCCTGAAAATAATGACTTTCCAAAGCAAATGATTTTTTTAATCCTATTATTAAACAGGATTTAAAAAAATCCTGTTATTTAGTATTTTTAGAAAAAATACTAAAAAGAGAAAAGAATGCAACAGATAACTCTCATAGAAAAGCAAATTTCTTGTTATTTGCTAAGATTATTTCTTTTTCCAAGCATGATACACCAATAGGGGTAGAAAACATGTGGTGAAATATTGTATTGTTTTGGTATTTGTTAAATTATGTCCCTGCCTACAATTCCTGAATTGACACTATTGAATATTTATTTTAATCCAAATTTCAATTAAGTAAAAACTTTTCTTTGATGTATTTACTTACTTGTAAGAGGCCTGAAGTTTGATATGTATTGGTTGCTCTAATGTATACAAATAGAACAAAAGTTCTCTGTGAAGGAGAATGGGTTTTTAAAAAATCTGATCTAGAGATAGTGTAGTTGATTCACTTAATAGCTCTTGATGGAAACCAATTTTTCTGCAACTGTGATTTTGCATAACAAGTTGCAAAAGTATTTTAAGATGAGACTGTTACTCAATACTCATTTCTGGTAAACTCCTTTTTGCACCATCGCCTTCGTCTGTAGAACAGATAAAAGTGAAACAGAAAAGCACAGCCAGAATGTCACACATAAGCCATGGCTTTTACAGATAATAGTTTAGCCACAAGCCTTGAAATATTGGTTTTGAATGTGAATAATTCATTTTCAACAAGTATAATTTTCACAAATACATTAAACATTTGTACAGCCATGTTCTGCTCATTTAGATGAACTTGTGCCATGTATTTAGAAACTCTATACTTCCACACCAAAAAGCCTTACTTTGGGGCTGAGGTCTGATTTTCTTCTCTTCTTCCCCCCCTTCATCCATCTCATCCCCTTGTGGCTGCTCCATGTCTTTGTCTTACTTTTCCCTTTGGTACTCTTCAGATGGACCCATTCCTTCTTCACGGATGGCTTATAGTTTCTGTGAGTTCATGGACCACAGCCTGCTAGCAACCTTCCATGACCCTGAAGAAAATTTGAAAGAACAATACTGGCACCACAAAAAACAAGCGTGGTTTCTTTTTTTTAATCTATTTATTATTATTATTTTTGAGACTGAGTTTCGCTTTTGTTGCCCAGGCTGGAATGCAATGGCTGTGATCTTGGCTCATCACAACCTCTGCCTCCTGGGTTCAAGTGATTCTCCTGCCTCAGCCTCCCAAGTAGCTGGGATTGCAGGCATGCACCACCACGCCCAGCTAATTTTGTATTTTTAGTAGAGATGGGGTTTCTCCATGTTGGTCAGGATGGTCTCGAACTGCCAACCTCAGGTGATCCACCTGCCTTGGCCTCCCAAAGTTCTGGGATTAAAGGTGTAAGCCACTGCACCTGGCCAACAAGCATGTTTCGAATGACGAATTGGGCTGGGTGCAGTGGTTCACGCCTGTAATCCCAGCACGTTGGGAGGCCAAGGCCGGCAGATCACTTGAAGTCAGGATTTCGAGATCAGCCTGGCCAACACAGCAAAACCCCATCTCTACTAAAAATACAAAAATTAACCGAGTGTGGTGGTGCATGCCTGTAGTCCCAGCTACTCTGGAGTCTGAGGCAGAATTGCTGGAACCCAGGAGGCAGAGGTTGCAGTTGGCCAAGATCATGTCACTGCACTCTATTCTGGGCGACAGAGCGATTCTTTCTCTAAAAAAATGAATTGACAAAAAGTGACAGAGTAAACAGGTTGAAGTCTGAGCAGTGAACTCACCGGTTTAAAGGACAGTCTTTCCTGGAGATATGTGCCTCTGTGGATGATGATCTTGCTGAGAAAACCTTGCAGAAGCTGACAATGTTCCTCTCAGTCCTTCGCTCCTCTCCTTTTGTGCCCCGAGGGTGAGGAGTAATCTTTGGTAGGGTCTAACATGACCTTGCATCACTCAGGGTGTTGAAAGCGGGCTACTCTAGCTGATTTCTTTAAATCCTATTTTTCTACAGGTTGGTGATGAAGAAAGGTGAATTATGAAACAGGAACTTTTGCCACAACTCTATTCCTAGTCACAAAGAAATATTTACAAAAGTCCCCATGCAAACCGGAATTCATAACTGATTACAATGCAAATGTGGGTGCTGGACATAATTTATTCACATCTATTTCTTCCAAAGACCTGGCACAGCATCTCTGCAACTTAATGGGTGGTTCCCTTTACAAGAAAAAAAAAAAATAACGGCACCCAGTGTTGACAAATTATTTCTACCACAGTGTTTCTTGAATGTAATATAAACACAGTATTACTTAAACATAAACAAGCTATAAATTCCTTATGGCTATAGACACTTTAAAAAACAATAAAATGCAAACCAATAAAATCCAAACCAGTCTGCACATTAAAAACATAAAGTTAATAATATTAAAATAGACTGGGCACAGTGGTTTATGCCTATAATCCTAACACTTTGGGAGGCTGAGACAAGTGGATCGCTTGAGTCCAGGAGTTTGAGGCCAGCTTGGGCAACATAGCAAGACCCTGTTTCTGAAAACAAAAAACAAAAATTAGCCAGGTGTGACAGTGCAAGCCTGTAGTCTCAGCTACTCAGGATGCTAAGGTGGGAGGATCACCTGAGCCCGGGGAGGTCAAGGCTGTGGTGAGCCATGATTGCACCACCAAACTCCAGCCTGAACAACAGAGTGAGACCCATCTCAAAATAATAATAATAAAAATAATAAAAACAGCATTGATTTAACATTGTTTTGATGAAACAAAACCACGAAAGTCTATTCTAAAAGCAGAAATGGTCATTTAGGTGTTTTGTATTTCACTTGTTAGCTATGTGATTCTTTTTATTTTGAATCTATTTGACATACATTTGAATACTATTATTTGAATATAACAGACATGCATTTGAGGATCTCTCATCATCCTTGTTCTGATTTTCCCTTTTAAACTGTACATTTGTCCTGAATGGTTCATTAATGAGTCATCAATCTAAAATGCTCACAAAACTAAAAAGCCAAAATATGAGTTTAATTTAAAGAAAATATTTTATTGAATATTTATGATCATATTTAGTGCTGATGAATTGGAATATTGTGTTTGATGTAATTCCTTTGAAACATAAATGTGGTGGTAACTCAGGAGGTACCAGTGCTTCATGTTAAGGATGCTTGTGCTACTAAAGGCTGTATGATGACTCAGCTGTCCTATCACTTGCCTGCAGCACTGCAGATCACCAAGACATCACCTGGGCTTTACTTGGAGCCAGGCTTTGATCCTACAAAAAAGGTACCTGTTAAATATAAAGACACAAGTAAAGTCATGAGAAGAGATACAGCATGTTAACACAAATTAAAAAAAAAAGGCTAGAGTGGCTCTATTAACATCAAAGTACATTCAAAAGCAAATTAGAAATATTACTAGAGATAAAACAGGTCATTTCATGATAATATGGTAAATTAATCAGAAAGAGATAACAATCCTAAAAGCTTATGGATCTAATAATAGCTTCAAAATACATGAATTAATAAATTAATGAAATTCTGATCTACTTAAATAATTTTTAAGTGTTTATGTTCATTAGTTATAATTTGTATTCTGCCGTTGTTTTAACTGACAAACTTTTGGGGAGGTCAGTTTTTGATTTATAAGAACAATTAAGCAGAAAGTACAGAGAATTCCCACATCAACCCTCATCTTCTCCCATCTACATGAAGGGGTAGATGAGAAAACTTCCATGTCTTAATCTTTGTTTAATATGAAAAGACATTTTATAATAATTATTATTTTATGATATAACATATTAGTGAATATTATAGATTTCATTTTCTCAAATGGCAAATGAAGCAAAGGATAACATTTTGGTCTTTGCATTCATCAGTTTCCCCTTTTAATCACATCTTGTTTTAGTGTGGTACATTTGTTACAATTGATGAGCCAATGTTGGTACATTCTTATTAACTAAAACTCATAGTTTACATTAGGGGTCACTCTTTGTGTCGCACATTCTATTGAATTTGTATATGCCTGTATATCTGATTTTTCTCTAAGTGTGTTTTGACAAATGTATAATGACTACTATAGTATAGAAATGTGTAATCCACTCATATACAGTATGATGCTGAATAGTTTCACTGTCCTAAAATCTTCCCTATGGGTTACTGTACCCATAATTTTGTCTTTTCCGGAATGTCATATAGTCAGAATCATATAGTACGTAGCCTTTTCCAACTGACATCCTTCACTTAACAATATGTGTTTAAGGTTCCCCAATATTTTTTTGTGACTTGATAGCTGATTTCTTTTTTGCATTGAATATATTTCATTGTATGGCTGTTCCACAATTTGTTTATCCATTCACCTACTAAAGGACATCTTGGTTTCTTCCAAGTTTTAGCAATCATGAGTAAATTTGCCAAAAAAATGTGTGCAGGTTTTCGTGTGAACATAAGTTTTCAACTCATTTGGGTAAATAACAAGGATCATATAGTAAGTTTCATTTTGTAAGAAACTGCCAAACCTTTGTTCAAAATGGCTGGGCCATCTTGCATTGCCATCAGCAATGAGCGAGAGTTCTTGTTGCTCCACATCCTTGCCAGTCTTTTGTGTCATCAGTGCTTTGGATTTTAGTCATTCTTACAGGTGTGTAGTGGTCTCATTGTTATTTTAATTTTTTAAATTTTAATAGATAATGTTAACCTATTAGACGATATTTTGAGTCTTTTACATTTATTAGAATTTGTATTTTTTCAAAAGTAAATTGAGAGTGAGTTTTGAATAACATTACTATATATTTTTTATTTAGATTATTATGTCAACAGAACAGAACGGTGTAAAATCTTATTATAACAACATAATAGTTTGTTAAATGAATGTGAGAAAAACAAGTCACATGGACTAAATGGGCCATAATGTATGAATTGTATATATTTTTTCTTATTCATCAAACATTGATGAGCCATTAACACTCAAAACGTGCTCAGTAGTAATTAAGTTTAGTCATTTAAAAATATTTTTCCACTTTTTAGTCACATATTTCTCAGTTGCATCATTGTGAGGTTATATTTGCCAAGGTAGAATGAAGAATATTTTAACAGTTTCTTAGCTTGATTTATAATGTTAAAATATTCATATATGTGGAATGTTGGTCTCTTTTTGGACTCCTGCCTTGGGATAGTCCATTTGATAGGGGCAGGTCACAGTTTTTGAGAGTCATGAGAGGCTATGGATATTCTCAGTAGAATTAGACAAAGTTCTGTGGACACTTCAAGTATCCACAGACTCCCTACCACTCATTCATAGACCCAAGGCATCCATTCACTATAGACCGACAGTCCCTGCTGTACAATTCCCCATGTGTTAGTGCCACTTTAATTTCCCTAATGCACGATCCTAAGATTGCCATCCTCCTTCCTCTTCCTTCAGACTCTGCCAGGGGCTTCCGTTTTTTTATCCAATATTTTCTTCATCCTACCATTTGCAGTATTCAGCAATCTCAACTCAACTGACCTGACTTATCTCCCTGTATCCCTTCATGCAGCCCAAGACTAAGCCATGACTAATTAGGCCACATGCTGTTCGCTGGATATATCTCTGGGCTTTCCAGTTTCTCTGACTTAATTTACATAATTTTCTTCTTGAAATTTACTTTCCTTTATCTCTGCTGATTGAAATTCTACCATTATTCAAGGCTTCCTGTTGTAACCTTTTCTTCCTACCCCCACCCACCCTAAAACAATCTTTTCTTTTTCTGACCTCTCAGAACACCTGTTTTTATATCCATTTTTTCACTTTCCTTCCTTCCTTCCTTCCTTCCTTCATTCCTTCCTTCCTTCCTTCCTTCCCTCCCTCCCTTCCTCCCTTCCTCCCTTCCTCCCTCCTTCACTTCCTTCCTCCCTTCTTTCCTCCATTTATTATTGAGCTATTCAAATAAACTTTGCTGTGTGTGCACAGTACTAGGCACTCTACTGGGATAAAATGTTCCTCTTCTGCAAGAGGTTCACAGATTCATAGGAGCCCATTCATGCAGGACCTGAAGAAGACCTTGCTGGAGGGCAGTAAGCTGCAGAGGTTGGGTCAGACTGCCTAGGCCTGAGCCTGGCTCTGCCAATGCTAGCCGGGTGACCGGGGCCAAGTTACTTTACTTACCTCTGTCTATTCCTTTATTTATAAAATCAAGATAAGGGCACCTACCTCACAAGGTCCATATGAAGGTTGAGTTTACTGTGGAGAGATTTGAGAAGAGTGCTTGGCAGGTGGTAAGAACCCAATAAATACTATTGTTATTATCATTGCGAACGGAGGGAAAGTGGCAAGAGTTAGAGTAGACATCCTTGAAAATATGTGTCAGCAAAACCCTGCACTCTACCCTGCTCTCTCCAATGCTTGTTGAGGTAGATTAAACAGACAAACACAGACTTTGAGCAGGTCTCCTCTTTTGAGCTGATTTGGGAGTTTGTGATGCATGTTTCAGTTGCATTTGTAATTTCTGTCCCTGTAGCCAATTTATCTCTTGAACTGAAGAGTGGCGTTTAGAGGTCATCACTCCCACGTGAGTTTTTTATGGTTGTTTTGATTTTTTTTCACCACTGTGGAGCCAATAAGTTTGCGAAAAGTTTTTAAAAATAATAAAGACTGCTAACACATCCCTCTTAGCAAGGCAGGGCATTCACAGGAGTGAAGTCAGAGATGGATTTTTAGGGCAGATAGGTCATAGAAAGTATATACAGGTTACCTAATCAGCAGGCAGGTAAATGGCCTTTTTAAGATATAGTAAAGTATTTTGTTGAAGCAGGGAGAGTTTGGAAGCAGGTAACCTGCTTTCGATTCATGAGTTGTACGTTTCTAAGCTGGAGTGAGTAGGAAAGTCATTCAAACTTTCTGGTCTCAGTTTCATTATCTGTGTTGTGGAAATGATGCCTCTGCTCAGGATTAAATGGGAGTGTACATGAAAGTGCTTGAAAATGGAAAGAAGGAAGAAAGGAAGGAAGAGAAAGAGGGGAGGGGAGGGAAGGAAGAAAGGGAAGGGAGGGAGAGAGGAAGGGAGAGGGAGGAAGGAAGGAGGGAGGGACGGGGGGACGGAGGGAGGGAGGGAAGGAGGGAGGGAGGGAGGTGAAAGAATGGATATAAAAACAGGTGTTTTTATATCTTACCCAAAGAAGGAAGGAAGGAAGGAAGGAAGGAAGGAAGGAAGGAAGGAAATGGAGGATGAAGCTCAAATATATTCCAAGTAAATAGCCAGAGATCTATGCTGGACATTTTGATTTTTTTTTTTTTTTTTAGAGGGGGAGACAGGGTCTTGCTCTGTCACCCAGACTACAGTGTAGTGGCGCAATCTTAGCCACTGCAACCTCCGCCTCCCAGGCTCAAGTGATCCTCCCACCCCAGCCTCCTGGGTAGCTGGGACTACAGG